TGTAGGGGTCAGATTCCACCCTAGTAAAATCAAAGCAAAAAAATGACTAAGTATGAAAACTGGGTGAGAAATGATTGGGTGAACCCAGTAAGTCAAAGACCAACGAGGTGATTTATCCAGGCGCGACGGACTGCACGATGAGGTGATCCGGCAAGACGGACTGCGTGATGAGGTGATCCGGCAAGACGGACTGCGTCGGAATAGGAAGGCTAGAGCGGCGAGCCCGGGGAGTCCAGAAACATGACGTAGCGGTAAAGCAAAGTTCATAATAGAGAGGTGGGGTTGCAGAAGCATGAAGCCCACGAGTAAGCCCACGATGAGGTTCAGCTTATGATGCGACAAGGTGGGCTGAGCCCAAAGCATGACGAGGTGGGTCGAGCAGAGCGTCAAGCCCACTAGGCGTGGCCGACTTCAGAGAAAAAAATCCCTGAAAAATAGGAAAGTTTCCTATTTCTTCAGAATTAACCTAGCCGACCTAGTGTACTATAAATAAAAATGTATTCCCCTTGAAAAAGGGATCGACAATTCTTTACACAAAAACTTTTGTACTTTGAGAGCTTAGCAAGAACAGCAATAAAATCATCTTCAACCTTTGCTTTGTGATTTCGTATCTAGAAGACTCAGTCCTGCATTCAAAATACTTGACAAATTTAACTGTGTTGAACGTATCATCCACACCAGCCTTGTAAACGTTTTTGCAAACGCTCCCCAATAAACACAAAAATTTCTGTTTCGAGCCGCTAAAACATTGAGACAAACCCATATATGTGTTTGCTCCACCCTCCACTTGTATTCCAATAATTCTTTTAATCTTACTCTTGACATTGCTGAGCCACATCCAATCCAAAAGACAATGATAAGTTTTGAAAATTAATTCGTTGTCCGGATGCTTTTTTCGCAAATCCAAACATCGAAGAATCTCATCACACTTTGCTTCATCTACTAGTCCTCAAAAAAGACTATCATCTACAAATAAAAGATGTCTTTTTTCTACCATTTGTTTTCTTATCACCAGTTTTTCCTTTATTCACCTTTAGTGATGTTGCAGGTGTGGCCTCCAACCCTTGATTACGTCTACTACGATGGGAACCAACTTGTCCTCCTCCTCTTGTCTTTACCATTTCTGAAACTGATGAATAAACGAATAAAACTCAAAGTCAATCTTAACAAAATAATCAAAAAAATTCAAATCCCAGAAAGTCACCGAAACTGATGAATAAACGAATGAAACTCAAAACTCAATCTTAACAAAATAATCCAAAAATCCAACTCCCAGAAACTCACAAAACCCCAAAAATCAAAATCGTGTTTACTCCTTTGCAGAAAATTAGATTCAAAACTCAAAAAATCATGTTCACAGAAACACCGATTCAAAAACCAAAAATTCAAAATCGTCATTACTCCTTTGCAGATAGACGTACAGTTGGCCTTAATAGATAACAACTCAAAATCAAACTAGCTTTTCGACAGAACTCCTAAATCGATGAACCCCCAAATCATGCATCAAAACCTAAAAATCGATGAACCCCCAAATCATGCATCAAAACCTCAAAATCGATGAACCCCAAATCATAATTGCCAAAGGAGTGAGAACCAACCTTTTTCACACGATGACAATGAAGCGTCGATTCGAATTGATCGGAACGACTCGCCAAAGGAATAC